CGTGAGGATGAGCTTTTAAGCCAGATGGAGGAAGCGCGGTCCGATCTCACTATACGCTCTGAAGAGCTTGCTCGGAGGACAGAGGAGCTTGCTGAGAGGACCGAGGAGCTCGAGGTTATCCGGGGTGATGCGAAGGCGTATAAGGATGATGTTCATAAGTTGAACGAGTGCTACGATCAGCTGAAAGAGAAATATGAAGCTGAGAAGGCGACGGGGAAGAGGTTCCTCACGACATCAGGTGGTGTGGCTTATAAGGAGTCCATAGTGGAGGAGACTAAAGCTAGTTTCCGAGGTAGCGATGAGTGTGCTGATATGATTGAGGAGCAAGCGTTGGCTGTGGTTCATAAGCCATTAGTGCGTGCTCGTCGCAAATCTCTGAGTGATGAGGTTGGGATCAGCGAGGAAGTGAATGGTGGGATGGAAGCCGGCGATATCCGACGAAGAGGAGGAAGAGGTAGATGGCAAAGGGACGGGCACAGAGCTCGTTGAATGACATGGCAGCGGGCGACTAACCTGCGTGTACGTCTTAAACTATCCGTAGGGGTGTATACGAAAAGTCATGGCAGATTAATATCCTGTCTTGGCTCCTAAATTACTGTCTCAGACAGTAATATTACTGTTCGGGACAGTAATATTATGAATATTATTTTCCCGATCAGTATTATTATTAATATTACTGTCTGAGACAGTTAAATTACTGTTGGAGACAGTAATTTAGCAGCCAAGACAGTAAGTTTGAATGGGCTGGATTTATTTGATAGACAAAAAAGTTGGATGTCCCTATTTTAATTAAGTGCCCTATATGTCATGGGCTATTTGCGATTTGCCATTAACTCTAATGTAGGCTCAGAAAGATTCTTTATACTTGCCTTAGACGTGCGTTCCGTAACAAAAGTATGAACAACGTAACATATACTATATATAGCAGCGGAACATAGTCATTTAGCCGATCCCTTGGTCTTTCCGGTTACTTATCAGCCGAACAACTTTCGTCATTATTTTGGCTACCTATCTTACAACAGAAAAAGAAACAAGAAAAACGGCAAGAAAATAAAAGAAAAGAGTCACTTCACTTGGATTTTTTTTTCAATATGTGTATGACTCTTTTCGACATTCTTTTTGTACACAAACAACCCTATATATTATTTGAAGTTGATTGAACTATCAATTTGCCAAAAATAGCTACTTAATGGCAAACAAGTTCAGTTTCATCCAACTGAATACCCTCCTCAGCAAGCCTCTTCTCCTTGTACACATACCTCCTCGCACAATACTGAAATATCACCAAATTGAAGACGCTCAAAATGGTCAACAACCAATAAAAGTCGTAAAGCTTCCCTTGATTCAGATTATCAGCCAACCACGGGTTATTGTCGCCGGTCAGCTTGTGCACTATAGTCACCAAAATAGAGCTGAAAAAGAACCCTAACGAAAGCGTACTCAGAAAAAGCCCGGTGCTCATTGTCTTCATACCCTTCGGGCACTCCCTAAGGAAGAAATCGAGCTGCCCGATATACGTAAACGCCTCTCCGGACCCCACCAATAGGAACTGAGGGATCAGCCAAAACACACTCAAAGGAATAGTGGCCGTTGGATCGTCCGTTAGTCCGTGGGATTCCGCCACGCGTAGGCGTTTGACTTCGGTCAACGCGGCCGCCACCATGGCGATTATGGACAGGACTAGCCCGACGCCTATGCGCTGTAGCGGGCTTAGACCGTTAGGGTTTTTCAAGATCCGACGGCAGATAGGGAAGATGATGCGGTCGTAAATCGGGACGGTCAATAGAATGCTGGCTACGAAGAAGACTGTTAGAGATGCGGCTGGGATTTCGAATGACTTTCCGATCCGACGGTCCATAGTTGTCGCTTGCGAGACCGAGAATGTTGTCATTTGTGCGTAGACGGTCCAGAACATTATTGTTGTGGCCCATGTGGGCAGCATTCTTATCACCATCTTCACTTCTTCTACATCGGTGGAGGTCGAAATGCACCACTTGTTCGCCGGTGCTTCAGGAATCTTGATTGCTGCCTTGTCCAGGAAACTAGAACAAAACAAAACGCATATATATATAAATTAATTAAATAAGTGAAATTATTGTTTATTATTGCCTTGTGATATACAAATTCTACTGATTAAAGACTAAATCAACCGCAACCGGCTTGTACAGTTAAACCTCTATAAATTAACATAGTGGAGATTATCAAAATTCTATTAATTTAACGAAATGTTAAATTATTAAACTAATAATTAAATCTATTTTTATCGAGTCGTGATCGAAAGAAATAAGAAAGATTATTAACTTTTCAAGGTCCTACTGTATTAATAGTCTCCCTAATTGTTGTGGACCACATTACTTGTTCAGCCAAAATATTCAACAGCAAGTCAAATAATGCAAGTATGTGATTGGCCCACGAATATTCTAACTTGTGAGCAAACAACTATAGGAACCAATAGAATTATTACTACAATAGTTTATAATAAAATGATGGATGGATGTATGTGGACCACCACGTAGGTTGTGATAAGTTTCCAGGTTGGACCTCAACTGGTCCAAATACCTCTCCTTTTTGGTTGGCATCTTATGAAGACATATCATATTCATTTTTCAAATAATGCAACACTAGATACCAAATTAATATATTACTACCTATTTCCCATCACCTTATTAACCATTATTTAATACCTAACCCCACAACTTTTAATATTGGATACTATTTATATGATTGAAAGATATTGTCTTCATATGTATATATATAGGTTGATTGATGGATAATTATTTGTGTTCATTATGAATGAAAATCTGGACTAAAGATCTATCTTTCATCAACTAGCTCACATGTAAACCAACATATGAGCTTTGGTATTTTCGTGTCTATATTAATGGTGATGATAGAACCAGTCGTTGTCGAATGAAAATAACTCGAAATCCATTTCAAGATTAAGTTTTTAACATAAAAACAGGATACGCTTTTATTTTGTTTTCTGGAGTAGAGTATTTCACTGTAGCCAGGGGCGGACCTAGGTGATTTTTTGGTGGGAATGCTAGGTAAAATATGGTTGTCAATTAATAGAAGAAAAAAAATTGCACTTGTGTACTAAAAGTGTACAAAATTCAAATCTTGAAGAGGTTATATAGTCTATAAATTAATAGGTAAATACCAAAACAAAATTTAAAAAAATAAAATAAAAAATAGGTAAAAAGAGAAAATCTGCAGGGTCGGGATCCAGTCGTGGGTCCGCCCATACTGTAGCAGACTAATCATATTCGTATATTCGAATAAAGATAAGAATCGGAAAAACCGTAGCGTGAGCGTTTCAATTTAACTTTTAGACATTAATCCCAAGAGATAGTGTGAGAGTTTCAAATTAAACTTTTTAACATCACAAGAAATCTATTAAAAGAAATATTCCATAGGACCCCGGATTATTATAATTTTTAATTAGTGCTACCAAATCTCATTAATAAATTTTCAATTCTTGCTGCTATGAAACCACATATCCTAATATATGCTACGTTTTTAATGTTCTAAATAAATTAATTTCTCAAAAAGTTAATCATACTATACTCAAAAAAGTAATATTTTTTTGTTTAGTTATTGTTTGTTTGTGTAATTTGTGTGGTAGAGAGAGAAAGAAACAAATGAATAAAAGCACAGAAGAGACAGTTATTACAGTTAGTGAAGACTCACCGGAACTCCTTGCTGTGTGGTAACTGTTGCTTCTTCTTCTTGCTGAGAAGGCCTCCATCGCCATTAATGTCATCAAGGTTGAAGAGCAGAGAAGAGTCTGACGGCAACTCAAGGTGTCTCTTCCTCCACGCCGCCACGAACACGACGGCAATCTGCGTCAACGGGCTGCCCACAAGCTTCTTGAAACGGTACCTTCTCGTACCGGACAGAAAAACGAGCAATCCGACAACAATGGCGCATGCACAGATCCCGTACCCCCACTGCCTACCGAGATTGTCTTGTATGTACACAAGCACGGTCACCGCTCCAAGTGACCCGATATTTATGCAGAAGAAGAACCAGTTGAAGAATTTCACCATTTTTTTTCTTTCCTTGTTGTCCGATTCGTCGAACTGGTCCGACCCGAAGCCGGAGACGCTCGATTTTAGGCCTCCGGTGCCTAGGGCGGTCAGATACAGGGCTGCAAAGAGGACCATAAGCTGTTTGCTGCTCGCCGGGATACATGATTCGCTCCCGGCGGTGCATTTTGGTGGCCGGAGACTCGGGATTACGGTGGAGATTGTCAGTATCGTCACTCCCTAATTAATGAGTACAATGATTGATTATTCAAGAATTAATTAGCACAGCTAGTCAAAGTTCAAACAACAAAAACCCAAACAGCCTGGAGATTATATATTCAATTGCCAATTGCAAGCATCAATTCTTTTTTTTAATTTTATTACTAGATCAATTCCAATTCGCTGTTTCGGGTTTCCTCTTTACAGTGAAGATATTAATTAATTAATCAATTAATTAATTTAAACTGGCAGATAATTTCATCTACTACTGACATATATATCACACTAAAACCAAGAGAGAGAATATCGAGACGATGAAATCAAGTGGTAATTTATATTAAGCGTTGGGCTTACCGTAGCTTGAACGGTGGCGAAGATGCCAATGGTCAAGTACCTGCACCAAAGACAAACCACATAAATTAATTTTGCCATCCGATCCGAGAATATACTATCTTAAAAATTGAATAAATAAATAAATTACCTTCCGAGAAAAGTATCGGCTATGAAACCACCAAGCAAGCAAAGCATGAAAGAAGTGCCGAGAAAATTGGTGACATTGTTGGCGGACATAGCATTGCCCAAATGCATCGTCCCGGTCAAGTACGTAACTAGATTAACCGCTATGCCCAGCGTAGTTAACCTCTCAACAGCCTCCACCCCTGTGCGTGTTCGTCCCCCGAATTAATTAATATTAATAAAACTTCAAGACGAATGCACATATATATATATATATATATATATATATATATATATATATATATATATATATATATATATATACATATTTCATCAGTTCATGTATATATATAAAAGGGTATGTATGTATGTATATACCAAGAATCATGGCGGCGGAGGCCCAGCCGCCGGAGGAAGATCGGACGGAGGAGCGGCCTTTGTAGTCCCAGGCATCGGGGAGAGTTTCGGCCTGTTGATGTGTTTCGGGGAGTGTTGCCATTTTATCAATTGTGTACAGTTTGGCAGAGTATGAAAAGTTGTTTTGCTATATGAAATGTTTGTATTTTAGCAAAGAGAAAGAAGAGTCTCGGTTTTTATATTATATGTAGCTAGCAAGCAGATAATTGTGAATATCCAAGGGTGTCCAATGTGCCTTATTTATAGTTGTGGCCTTCTCCAATATTTATGCTCTCCTATTTTTTTATTATTATTGTTTTTTTTTTTTCTGGCGGAGGATTGGTGGGGTAGGGTTGGTGTGGGAAATTGTGTGTGGGAGTGTGCACCTGATCACAATGGATTTCTTTGATTTGTTTAGAAGTCGTTCATTTATCGGTATTATGTTCCATTGACTAAATAGTTTGGTTATTACTTCCATAGTCTTTCAATATATCCCATTTAGTCTGTCAGATTATATTTTTTTTAATTAATGTAATTTGGAATTGTTTATGTATATTTGAGAGTTACATATATAGTCGGATTTTTTTTATGTACGAATAAATGACAATGTTTTGATTATTTTATCTACCACACTGTGTACAATTAAACATCGGGCTTTTTGCAAAAACCACCCTTGTGTAATCTCGAATTGCTGAAAAATTCCTCGTGTTAAAAATATTAGCACAAAACTTCCTGTGGAAAAATAGTCAAAGCCAAAAAAGACCCTACGAGCTCAATGTGTTATACACTCGCGCTTTGTGCGACTGGGCCTCGTGTTTAGGAACTAGAAAGACCTAAATACCCTTTAAATCAATTTTTGAAATTTATGAATTTACCCAAAATATTTTTCATAAGCTCAAAATGAAGTTTTCAGAATTTTCAATTCAATCCCCACTAATTTTAGAAAAGCCATCTCTCCAAATTGCATAGAACCAAATTGCAATTTTCATAATTTCTCAAAATATCGTCATCTTGTTGCCCTCTCCTTCAGATCTGCTGCTCGCCAAATAAAAAAAATAAAAAAAAAATAAAACAAACAAAAACCAGCGATTCGACTTCATAACCTGCCCATTGCAAAAGAAGAAAAAACAACAAAAGTTGCTTCCTCCATTTAAACCCGCCGGAAGAAAAAGGCACTTCAAGCACAAAAAACACAGGCCCCAGTACAATACACACACGCACAAAACGTAACTTGATCCAACATCTTGATTTACAAGAGATATGAAAGAACCCATCATACATAAAGCATAAGTTTTTTTGGGTGGGAAGGCAGATGGGGATGCGGCGGTGGTGTGGCCATGGTGGTGGTGATGCGGCGGTGGTGCGGACGTGGCGGCCGTGGTGCGGTCGTGGTGGTGGTGATGCGGCGGTGGAGGACTCAATGGAAGAATTGGGTTGTGACGGTGGTGCGGACATGGTGGTGGTGGTGGTGCAGCCGTGGTGGTGGTGCGGCGGCGGAGGGCTTGATGGAAGAATTGGATTGTGGGAGGAAGACGATGCCTTGGTGATAATTTGATAATTTTCTTTTTCTTTCTTTTTTTTTCTTTTTGCATTTTATTTATTTAATTGAAACATAAATTATTAAAAAATATGAGGGTTAGTTTAGTCATTTCATATAAGTCAATTGCTAATTCGAAATAAGGGCCAGTGTGCTTTGTCAAAAATAATATAGGGAGGTCTATGCTAATATTTTTAACATGAGGGGTTTTAGACATTCAAAATTTCACAGAGGGTCTATGAAATTAGCTCATTAAACATCTATAAATCAATATATTTGGATTTAAATAACTATTAATTTAGTGAAATATTAATTAGTTTCTGACTTAATAATTATTAATCGAATACATAGAATATACATGACTGTTACATATACAGTGAAGGCATGAGAACTGCAACATATAATCACATTATTGATTAATTATGATAATGAATGAATGTCAAATATCTCTTCATGTCATGAAAAGAAAGAATATGATTACATTGAGGATAAATATGATTAAATTGAGGATGAACTATTTCTCGATAGAGAACTCCTAAAACACCAACGACATTGAATATTTTTTTTGTTGAATTATAAAAATAGGGATTGTTTTAAAGACCCAATCATATCTAAATTATATATAACTAACCATTAAAGGGATTACACTCTAGTGCAAATTCTCTTAATTATGATAATAAATTGACATACCCCTGGGCCAATTTAAAGTACATAGAATGTCCTTTTAAATCAGTTTTAAATACTAGCCAACTCACATCGGTCTCTCTCTTCCTCTCTTAACTCTCAGATCCAAAATCCCGCCCCCAGGGTATCCAACCGGCGATGTTGCTTCCCGAAGTCATAACTCTCTCTCCGGTGGTCAGAATTCGATAGTTTAACTACCGTTGAATTCCTCTCGTCAAGCTCTTTCTTTTGGTGGTGATTTCATGCACTTTGGAACTCTGGATCTGTGTCTGCAATCGTTTAACAGTCCACGCATATTTCAACGACGGTGGGTCTTGTCAGAGGAGTAATTTATGTTTCGGCAGTCGGAATTTGACGGGCTACCCACCGTTGGATTCCACTTGTCAAGATCTATTTTCGGGGTAATTTCATTCAATTTTTTATTGTCAGATTTGTTTATATATATATATATATATATATGTGTATATATATATATGTGTGTATGTGTGAGTGCATAACATTGGGTGGTTGTCGGCGGCTAGAATTTTGGTAAGAGGCACTTCGGTGAAGAGTCACTGGGTTGGTTTAAAATCCGTAGCATTTCGCAGCTATGGTCTCTCTCTCTCTCTCTCTCTCTCTCTCTCTCTCTCTCTCTCTCTCTCTCTCTCTCTCTCTCTCTCTCTCTCTCTCTCTCTCTCTCACTTCAACTTTGTTTTGGCTGAAGTTACATATACTTCAAGTTACAGTGTTTTGCAGACTGTATACATTACTATACGTTACCATACATTACTAGTTACATATACTAACATATAGTTAAATATGCATATATTTGGTGTATTTTCGATTTGTATTTGTTGGTTATTAAGTGATTTATAATATAAACATTTTGTAAAAAAATTCCTCATATTATACCTATATATCTGTTAAGCCCACCCAAAATCTAAATTAATGCAAAAAAAACCCCAATTATTATTAATTAATGCATCAAAAATTCAAAATTATGCAAAAAACCCTTTTTTTTTTCTTTTTTTCCTCCTATTTTTTATTTTGTTACAAAAAAATCCTAAAATGTTTTTGGGGACGCTGCCCCCGTACCCCTGAAAATTTAAGTGCACCATGTATCACATTCATGAACTCGCCACTGTTTTTATCTATTCCCACAATCAGGAAATCAAACAGTTAGATTAAATAGAGCATTTGACAAAAAAAAAAATTTGTTTTGTTATCGATATATTTTCGTTATAACAATATTCAATTAATGAGATATATAATTCTATGACGATAATATTGTGACATTATTGATAGCTGTTGTTAATCTTGAAATTATTTGTCATGGCGAATCATAGTCAACAGCACGATAAGTTTAATGTATTTATGAAAATAATTCTCTTGATTAAGTCGTTCAATTAACTACGAATTAGGATGAAGTATTTAATTACAAAAGCATACGTGTCGAACACATTTTTAAATAGATGAAGTAGCAAGAATACGGATATAGAGATGACGAAATGAGAAATTACAAAAGATGTGTTGTGTTGTATTCTTTGTTTCAGCACCTCGTGACTTAGCAAGTGGTAATTTTTGTGATAATTAATTAATCAATTAATTGTAGCCAAGGGAAAAAGCTGTGTTTGTACGTAAATGTGGACAAAATGGATTAAATTATTATTATCAATTGGAAGAAAATTCAAAGAATCACGTTTTGATAGATGATTGGACAAGTGGCGATATAACAATCATGTATTTTTGTCAGCTTAACAAAAGAAAAGAAGAAAAAAAAATACTTTGAAATAAAAGTAAGAAAAATTGGGTAAAGTTCCATTTAAAAATGAAGTTGCCCAAACTCCTCCAAAATGCATCGACTGCGGCTCTTAATTTCTTCGGGTCCACATTGATTTTTATCTCCAGTTTAACACTCAAATCTTGTATCGTCTTTGCAATAAAATTAGCCAAAATAGAATTAAATAATTTATTGAAACTTCAGTTATATTATGGGAATATTGTGACAAAGTTATGTAGCTAGAACATGGAAACGGTGATACGGGAAACGGGAAAACAGATACGAGGAAACGGTATATAAAAAAACGGAGATATGTGATTTTGGGGGGAATGTGTAAATTTTAAAAATGTAGGGGTATATTTATAAATATGCTATGTACACATATATAAATTTTTATTTATATATAACTTTTCTATTTTTTTTCATACAAAAATATTCAAAATATATTGTACTGTCAACCATCAATTTGCAATTGTTCATTCAATCATGTAAATAATTAAAGCAACTTAAATGCTAAATATTAAAATTGAATTATCAAATATTCATTTCATATTTGAGATAATAATATTTTAGCATTGATTAAAATTCATCTACTCCAACCTTGGTTATCAAATTAATAATCAACTGGAAGTTTATGGGTGATTTTATTTGTAATTGTCACATGTCAACTTGTGATTGGATGTGTTAGGTACAGGTCCTTCGAAAAACAGCCATAGATCTGTAATACAGTTAGATAACACAAGGAAATGATAACAATAAAAGAAAATTGAATAAGAACGGCTCAGTTCCCTTTTCCAGTGTTCATACTGTAGATCCAAGGTCTGGTGGTAACACCAACCGAAAACAAGCACCAAGCAACTGCCACTGATCGGAACCCTAGATCTGACCCCCAATCTCACTGTGAGTTGACTCACCAACACATGCACAGTCAACTCAGTAGATAACTCACCCTCTCCACTCAGCACAAACCCAGATTTCTGCAATCACAAAGCCGAAACCCTCACAGAAGAAGATTAAGGCCAGAAATGAAAAGGTTTGAATAAAAGGTGAATCACACTTGTCTCTCTCTCTCACCACAGTATAAATACACGGAGTTTCAACGGTCTCCAGCATTAAATGTGCTGCGACGGCAAGGACACCCATTGTTCGGCCAGACCTGCGACGGTGTCGCCGGAAAACGACAAGGGGTGACGAAACACTGTAGAGAGAGAAGGGGACAAGGGAAGAGAGAGAAACGGCGC